CCTCCTCGCCGCCGGGATTGAGGCCCACCCGGCGAGGCTCCTGATCCAACAGGGGCTACTAGCCAGCCAGCCATCAACGCCAAATGTAAGCGGCCGCACGACTCCCAGTTCACATAGCCTGGGCGTCTGTGTCGCAAACACAGCCCATCAACAAACAGCTAGGGTTGTTCATTCAACCCAAGTTTAGTAGAGTGCTTACTTGGGGCAACAAGGCTGCAATAGGGAAGAAGGGAGTAAGGAAAGGGTAAGATCTTGAAATAGGAAAAAACAAAATAAAGCTAAGCAAGCGCAACAAGAAACCAACCTGTCGGCTGGGCCGAATGACTATAGCACCAACTTCGAGCTGTGGCTCCATCGCAACCAATTGGCTATAGCTGATGTTTTTGAAATTTGGATGGAAAATGAGCCGGTTGATGTAGGCCTGGTGGGCTGTGGCCTTCGCTTTCTCCTTTTCTGTCTCCTCCTTACGTACTTCAGCCTCTTCGGCCTCATAGTCATAGAAAGGATCCTTCCTTGGAGTCCACAAATGGCGTTCGTCCTAGTCGGAATTATAAAAAATAGGATAATGAGCTGTGCTACTTGATGATGTGCGGAAACGTCAGTCACACAATCCATCCACGAGGACTCTAGGCGGCAAGCCAAAGGTAAGACGGAAAGTTCGAATTCCATCCTGCCAACAGAATGGAGATCGCTAAAAATTATTTCTACGTGACCACAGCTGACGGAGTGTGACTCCACAGTTGGATCTTCGGCTCGATTACTAACTGACCCGGAGCCCAAATGCACGGTCTCGCGGCGTGTACTTCGTGCATAGACGGCAAATAAATCCCAAAAGGCCCACTCTAGTTTCCGTTTTCTTGTCCATAAAACCGTGTTGTAGGTATCACAGAAACAGTCGAATAGCAGTTACAGAGAACAGAGCAAGAAACTAAACATGGTCCGCATGAATGGGTAGACTGCTACGGAACCTTAAACTGAGGAAAATGTCTACTTTATCAAATATAGCCTAACAGTCTTCGTATAATAAATATTTAGTTTGTTGGATTGATAGTTAGCACCATTCTAATAAAAACTAGTTAGTTGTAGTAATGTTTTGGGTGGAACAGGTAAGTCTTCACCATTCTGAGCTATCAAAAAACGATGAGAAATAGGTAGTTCGCGCACGAGTTGGGTATT